CGTCGTCGTCGTCGTCGTCGTCGTCGTCGTATACGCGAGACCACCGATGCAGACCCTACGGAAAAAAAACAGTCCGTGCAAGTGTGAGTAACGATTTCACCCCCGGCTAAAAGTTGGCGGTGGTGGCGGCGGTGGTGGTGATGGTGGTACACGTCAACGTGAACGTCGATTCTCTCTTCGCGTTGTTCTCCGATTCGTGTCTGGAGCGACACAAAATCCCTCGCGATTACATAGCCGGAGTTTACGCATTTTTCGCGAAGGACGACAAGTGACATCGGACAAGTGTCACCCTGTAGATCGCTTAGGGGTGCTTCGCGTAATATGGCTTCCTCGCGTTTTCACGCGACGACGACGCGGAGGTGTAGCTCTCGGAGTTTCCCGGCGTCCCGCGATTTTAAGAGCGCGAATCGTCGCGCAAATGCACGCCGCGATGGATCTGTGTGAGAAACGAATTTCATTTGCATTGTCGAATTTGGCGAATTCGCTCGCACGCGGCAGTTTCCTGTCGCACGTGTTACCGTCCGAGGGATGCGCGAGTGATGAGGCAGCTTGACGTTAGGTGGCGCCAGCTGTATCGTGCGCGTGTTCAAGCTACTATGGGATTTTCAGCGCGTGGAGAAGCGCGCGTTCATCTCTCCTTATTCGATTAAACATTAATTTATTTAATGGGGCGTAATAAAATACGAGGGCAGGATAGAGCTTTCGTGTTCTGCGCGCGAATATAACTTAGGAGACACATCTCTGACTTGATTTCGTGGCAAAAATATCGATTGATTCAAAATGTTAAACACATGGACGTCGTGCTATTTAATTATGCGCTTAGAATCTAGCGTTTTTAATTTTAGATATGAAACACGGGAGTAAATCGATTATATTAGTTTACATTAAACCTCGAGCGAGCGGTCTCGGACGCGATAGAATAAGCGCTAAGCAGAATGCAAGTCACACTCGTTAAATATGTAAATGTATTTCTTGCCGATGAATTCTTGACGAGTCACGTCAGTTGACAACGATACGTCGCTTTTCTATATTTATTCCTCGACTACACCCGATCCTCGCCGTTACGTAAATATCAATTATTTGCAAAACAGCGAATCTCGCTATATGCGCCACAGCAGATATCCGAAAATAAACGGGTCAAGTTTGAGTAAGAGAGAGAAAGAAAGGGAGGGAGAGGAAGATAGCGATATCCGAAGAAAGTAATCTTTTTAGTGAAAATATCGAGAGAAAAGTCATCCTGTTTGCTACGACAAGAAATCGAAGATTCGATCGTGTATTTCCGATGCACTTGGTACTGATAAATTCACGTAATTGGTTGCCAAAATTACTGTTGAAATTTTTTTAATAATAATTACATTATATTTTTATGATACCACGTCCGTAAGATTATCGATGTCGTGTCAGAAAATAAAAAGTTTACACAATGATACATACGGAAAGAAAAGATTTAGTTATAGTAATGTAAAGTTTGGTTTTTTAATGAACGAACCAACGTGTCTTTGATTAGAAGACACAAAATTTTCGGTTCTCATAACTTCAAATTATAATTATAATTATTATTATTTTAACTCAAGACAAATATAAATTAAATATATTTTGTGTTTAGTTTTTCAAAATTCTTCAAAGAAAATAGCAATAAAGAGAAAAAATCTAGATATATTTATATACGTAGCGAATTTTATAATAAAAATTATCGAATAACTTTGTTGTATAAAAATTGAAAAGAATTTATATGAAAAGAAACTGCAATGTGGTCTTCGCGTATTTAAAGGAAAAAAACCTCGTCCTAAGGGGAATCGCGCAGTCATTTGAAATCACCATAGAACCAAACATTTTTCCCGCATGTATGTACCGTCGTCTTGAATCCTTTTATTGTTATGGCGCGTCTCGTCTCGTCTCACGCCGTAGTAATAATTGTTGTGGGGTTGAAGCGCAGGGCGCATCTGGCGCGCATCGCGGCGAGCAAGGAAGGTGGCCGCGGAAGGAGCGACTCGACGGCAGGTTCAATTGGTAGCGGTACCTTGTATCTTCGAGCACGCGACAGTTGGCGTTCTCCACTCGAGAGCGAGCGGAGTGCCTTCTCGAACAAACGCGAACAGCAGCTTCGGCCATTGGAATCGCGAGAGGGGTCGCGTGATATGGCCCGCTGAAAAGGAGAGAACCGCGATGAACCGCGTCTCGCTTTTTCTCTCCTCTTCGCCTTCCCTTTACGCTCGCTATTTCGCTCTACGACGAGGATTTATCGCACCTTCGCTCTACTGTACTGCCGTTCGCGCGAGCGCGCCGACCGCCTCGTGTGCGCGCGTGACGTCGCAAATATAATTAACATAGCGAATAACGCGGTCGTAGTAAACAGTCGGCGACGACAGGCTCGCGGGAGCTTTACCGAATAATTGTATTAATTAATTAGCCGCATTTTCGTCATAACTTGTACGAATCATTTCCGTGGATATTTCCATGGTTGTCCGTAATTGTAACGAGCGGTGCGTCTCGTTCGTTCGTGTCGCGGCATTTCAAATATTTATTCGTCTCGGCGTCATATTAATAATTCGCTCGTCAAACATTATCGAAACATGTCCACGCTGAACGATCATATCGGTACTTCCGTAAGGTAACGTCCTGTTTTTCCCGGGACAGTCCAGGTTTTTTCCCCTTTGCTCCGTCTTTTTTCAAATACTCTCCGGAACGCCGATTTGTCCCGGATCCGGCCAAACTATCACGGTTTATCCCGGTCCGGAGGATTTTTCAAATGCTTCTGACAAAAAAAAATCTACTTAAGAAAATTCATAGCTCTGGTAAATACAGTAACTTCGTTTTTTCTGCTCAAGTTTAAATAAAAATAATAGCAATTTTATCTTAGCAATAAATTCTATTTATACTATATGTAGTAAACCTTCCTCTTTTGTTGATCAATTCTTTTTCATATGTCTATAAACAAAATATTATTTCATATATATATATATATATATATATATATATATATATATATATATATATATATATA